AAAGTTTGTGATATTTTGTCTGTTTGATAGTTTTGTTGTCATAGCTGCAGTTTTAGGAAAGCTTTTATGCAGCTTGATGCTTAGGCTGAATATGCATATATGGTTGCTTATTAGAAAAAGTCTTGTGTAGTTTTTAGCTTGTACCATGCGAGGCTACGAGATTGATTTGAACAAGAAACAGTGCAGTTGAATTGAGGTGAATTCCTATATATTAAGTAAGGGGCTGATATTTTCTGTCTAAAAACCCTTCCCGTTCTTTTAGAGTTGAGGTGCTGCTTGTTGAGAAGGCTCCACGTAGTTGAAATCTTTCGTTGAGAGCTTGAATGCAGTTTTTGTTATTTGTTAGGAATTTTATTTGATTTTTCTTGATGTGAACTAACCTCAATTTGATGTTCTGCATGCCTCAGTTGAATTGATTTGAAGTCCTGTATAGTATGTAAGAACTGTAATTGAAAACTGTCCATGAGAGCTTGAATGAAGTTTGTTCCTTTCGTTAGAATCTGTTCATTGAAATCTTTTCCTTGGAACTAACGTCAGTTTGAGGTTCTTCATACGTACGTGATTAGAAAGCTGAATGAGTATATATATTTCTAGTAAGGAGTTTTGTAAGCTTAGTTCAACGAGATTATATATTTGCAGCAATTGTTTTCTGGTTATGTAACCATAAGTGGGTGGGCTTTGGACCTTTGGTAGCCTTGTAAATATTCTATGAAGGAATTTTAATGCTTTTGTTGCCCATAGGTGGCATATATGTTACTACCGAGTACAGATATGTTATGTAGCAAGTTCTTGTTTGTAGTATTTGTTTTATGTGTATCATTGTACCTATGAAATTCTGATTGCCCCTTAAGGTCATGAAAATGTGATTTGTTGCCCCAAATTGCATATTTAAAATGCTGTGGCCCATATTTTCCGAAAAAGTCGAAGTTTATTCAATGAAATTGCAGATCTGCGGGGTACAATAATAAACATGTGCCTCCTCTTTAGGGTCGAACCTTCCTAAAGTAGCATTGACATTTGACCTTTGAAATTCATGCCTTAAAGATGGTTATATAGGATATATGATGTACAAGATTTACCTACCTTATACTTGCATCACCCTAAATTTCTAATTTTCTGTACCCTTAAAATACATTTCAATGTTGAGTGTTGATTGTTGAATAATGTGGGCCGACATCTCTTTGCCGGAGTGTTTTATGTTTTGGTTGAATGGTTTTTGAGAACCTAATCAAATCATCAAGCAATATATGTTTATGGGAAACATGAGTTTTCCATTTATGTATGATAGGGTGTAATCGAATTGATTGAGTTGAGTTGGTGCATTTTGAGCTTGTGTTTTATTATGTTTGAACATTGTCGTGTTCATTTGTTGGTTTTTCGTGCAAAAATTCGCGTTAGGACTCGCTCATTTAATTGTTCATCAAAGATTGAGGTTGTTCACTTTTGGATTTAGCTAGATTACTAAAATTGTTTGATTAAGTTGAGTTTGCTTTGTTTAAAATCGTTTGAGCTGAAAAAAATAAAAATTTAGTAAGTGCAAAAATATTTTGGTAGTTTATAATTATTTCTTAATAATATTGTACATATACATGTGAAAAAAAAAATCATATATAAATAAGTGTTCGTGCAAATTATAGAACGCTAATGAGTAGGTTCACCGTTCATGCTTGTTTAATTAACAAACGAGCTTAATAATTTTTGCTCGAGCTTGACTCAACTATGAACTTGATGAGTATTGTTCTTTAACTTTCTACTCTTTTACAACTCTCGTCAATTCTAAGGGCACCCGCAATGGTGCGTTCAAGTGCCCCGTTCAACTTGTTTAAATGCCAATTTGGCATTTAATAACATTGTGGGTGTTCATTTAGAGGTGGGCCCCCCACCATCCATTCATTCCATTGAACGGCAATTGTGTCCCTTTTTATATTTTTTTTGTTTTCTTTATTTTTTTTGTTTTAAAATCATTATTTTGTATTGAATGAGTTGATAATGGGTCCCACATATGTATTTAAATGAATGTGTAGGAATGTGAGTGTGTTTAAATGAAGAGAGATTTAGTGGAAAGATGATGTGGATGAAAGAGAGTGTTACTTTTTTATTGAATGAATGGTATTTGTGTTAAACGGATGTGGATGCCCTAAGTGTAAGTTAATCAGTTAATGATGGCAGTATGTATTTCAGCTAAACCTGAAACCTTGTTGGATGATAGAGTTGTTCCCTAGTTAATATTTTTATATTGTAGTTGCGTATTAATAGGGCGTATTAAAAGGTTGGATTAATCGGCAAATATATATCCAACCATCAGTTTTTTTAAGGCCAGATAATTATTTACTAAGTACACGTAAGAGAGCACAAGATCATCTCCAATGGCATCATGTTTATTTTGATATATATGTTGTGGAGAAAGGAAATAAAATTATTTTATCTCCAATGATTAATGTGAATCGTAGAATAAATTGACACGAGTAATATAATAATTAGTTGGTGGAGAGAGAAATATAAAATAAATAATATATATAGAGTAGAAGATGTCTAGAAGTCTTTCTACATCTAGAAAGACTTCTAAAAATTTCAAATGTCACATTGGATTATTGGTGCTGTCGTGGCAATGAAATGGAGCAATCCACAACCCATTGAAGATGCTCTAATTGGCTAGCTTGGATGGGAGGAGGTGTCGGGTCGTATGAGGTGGATAATCTTTTTGTTATTATTATTATTACTTTTTTTTTAAAAAAAAAAAATCTACTTTTCGGGGTAGTTGGGGCAAAGTTTAAGCCGGACATTAACCTGACCTGACTTTGGATCACCCGTTCATCTGTAACGGAGCTAATTGATGAATCGAGTAACTAATTTTATAAAATTTTAAATTATAATGATATTATTTTTACATTATAATTGTACAAAAAATAATAAAAATATATTATTTCATTTAAAATTTATTCCCCAAAGTTTTAATAATATTGTATTTTGTCATATTATTTACTACACATATATATACATAATTTTATTTTTAAAAATATAAAACTAAAAAAAAAAAATAATAATGACCAAGTCAAACCCAGCTGATACGACCGGTCCCTAATCACCCAGTTGGATTGTTCCGGGGTTCAAAACTATGAGTTGGAGTATTTATTTGGCGAAATTTTAAGATAACCACACGATATTAAAATTATTTCACTCCTACAAGGTGGGTGTTTTTATTTGCATCTATACCTAAAAAAAATGGATTTATTTGGGTTGAGTAAAAAAGATCAGTTACCAAATTAAAATGTTCCCTACAATCACGCAAATTACAAAAATCTTTCCTCATAATTACAGAAAATATAATATACATAATATACACGATTACAAATATATCCGAAAAAAAAAACAGGTATTATCTTCATTTTGAAACTGGTCTATGTATATATGTAGTATATTTTTTGGGTTTTTCCGATCTGATGTTTATATATATATATATATATATATATATATATATATATATATATATTGGGGTTTATATAAGTATGCCAAACATATACAGAACATATACCGAACATATGTATACTGAACATATACCATTTTCTGGATTTATATATGTATACCGAACATATACAGAACATATACTGAAAATACCTCTAGATCCAGGCATCGAGTTTTTTTATAAATCTCATGAATTTCATTCCAAATACCATGAATTTCATTCCAATTGCATAAAAATTCCCAAAATATCCGATGCGGTGCAGGTGGACCCAATCGCGACTTCTCGCGGCGGATTTCTGATGCTATTCGACCGTTTTGATTTGATTATCGGAGCTCAACTTTTTTCATATTCATGCGAAAAAAAAAAGCTTTTTTTTAGCGAAAGCGTTGGGGTCGGTGGCGGCCATCGCCGTCTTCCACCGATCAGAAAAAGAAAAAAACAAAGAGAGGGAGAGAGAGGGAGGATTCCACCGATTAAAAAAAAACAAACAAACAAACAAACAGAGAGGAGATAGAAGAATGGAGAAGAAGAGATAAGGGAAAGAGAGAAAGTCTACCTTTAATTACGATAATCAGTTAATTGTATACTTCAATTAATTATTTTTTATATATCTAGTAATTTTGCAATTAATGTTATGCATGTGGTAATTTTGCAATAAAAAGTGATAGGTACTGTATAGGGTGTAATTTCCTCTATTTTTATTTTGTTTTTTTGGTGATTTTTTAAAATATCCCAACTGGTTTTGAAGTTTTTGAACAATTTATGTGAATTTGGCTGTCATAAATTGTGATATATGAATATGTATTATATTAACATTATAAGCTCCAATTTACAACAAATATTTCTTTTGGTTGCAATGTAAAGAAAATGCATATAATACGTTGTAATAATTATTTGCCTTTTAAATTTTATGAACTTATATACACATCCATCATATTGACATCTCACTTATGATTTTCACTTAAAAGTTTAAATAGAAAATTCCTATTGTTATTATGAAATGTCCAATAGTGATATCTGCTCATGATTTCATGTTGTATATTTCATTTGATCATAAATATAATAATAACTTCAAATTATATTTTTGAGGAACGCATTTCAAATTTGATTTAAAATGAAACAAGAATGTCAAAAAGTAATGAATAAAAAATTAAACCAATAATAATTTAAAAAATGAGACATCAAAAAAGGAAAAAAAAATCACGTGTCCACCCCGCACGTTCTTGTAGGATCTCAACCGACCTAATCCGCCACGTTAGCCGACCCACGATTCGAAAACGCTGCCACGAACTTCGCAATGCTGCCGACGCGTGTACGTTCGAGGACACGTGTCGCCAGCCCACATAGTTCGGCCTCCCCTTTTACAAATCCTCTGTACCATCCTCACATTTTCAGATCGACCAACCCTTTACAATTTTACACCATAATCAGCCATCGTTCTAAGCAGAAAACACAAGAAAATAAAGTGTAATTAATCGACAATAACATCAAGAAGGATGAGCGGGAGCAATTTGGAGACGCGGTCGTTGATCGACGAGCTGAGGAGCTTTGACAGTGGCGGCTTCTTCGACCTCGGTCACCCTCTCCTCAACCGCATCGCTGAAAGCTTCATCAAAGCTGCTGGGGTACTTTTATTCTTCTTTATTTCAAGAATGCCCTAATTTCTGAGTTGGGTGTTTTAGCAATTTTGTGCAAAGCTACGATTTTTATTCTTGAAAACGGTTGAAATAGTTTGATTTTCGCCTTCTGCGTGTAGGGGTTTAGCAATTTTGGTAAAGATATGATTTTTATTGTTTAATGGTTGAACTAGTTTGATTTTACCTTTTTGTGTGTAATGGTACATTAGCCGGTTGAACTTTGTGTATCAGTGATTATGTGGCACAGTGGAAGTGGGCTTGAGATCATGGGTTGGTTTTAAGAAAATGTAGGCTCTAGTTCGTGTTGGCTATGTGAAATTAGGATATGAACTTCTTTAGGGACAGATGGATTTTATGACAGTAGTAGGATTTTGAGGATCTAATGAAGTGGGATTATGGTTGTTGATGTAAAAATTTGTGTATCTTGTGCATGTCAGATTGGGGCTTTACTCAATATGAACTTTTTCTTGGATAAGTGAATTTCATGACAGTAAGTTATTTGAAGTGAGGTGATGTTAATTGATGTTAAATTGGTGTATCTTGTCAGATTGGGGCTGTTCAAGCTGTGTCGCGCGAGGCTTATTTCACTGCTGTGGAAAGTGAGTCCTTCATTGAATATTTTTTACGTTTTTTCCCGTTTTTCGCGACCAATGTTTTCTAGTGTTAGCTTATTGGGTGAATGGGTTAGTATGGGTTGGTCGTTTTTCTATTATTTTTTTGTTAGCTTATGAATTTTGATTGGTTTAGGTGCAAGTGGAGATACAGGAGGTACCATTGCCCCTGAGATTGGCGCCTCCAAGAAGCGTCATCAGTTTCCGGACCTTAGAGGTATGACTTGTGACCAGTCTACTTATTTTCTTTCATTTAACAAAATAACTTCGACTGGCGAGCATATATATGTTGTGGCACTCATCTTCCATGAGCCATGCAATTATGTTTATGTTCTTTATTTGATTCCAAAATGATTCTTTGAGCTTGCTTGAAAGGTTGTTGTATGGTTGAATTGGTTTCCGAATGTTAGGAAGTTATTTGAACAGAATACAGAGAAAAGAATTAAAGTGTGGTGTTTATGTTTGGGCAAACCATAGGATGTGATTAAATTACTTTAGTGATTATTCATTTCTCATTAATGTAATTTTTTGCTCCACTTGACTGTTCTAATATAATCTGATGGCATTGTCCTATTTCTCGACTATAAATGCAGGAGAAAATAACCGGAAGTCGGTGGAAGCCCTGGTAAAGTTCCCATTATCATTTGTCCTCGTCTTTTAGCTCAACTGAACTCTTTGCTATATTCTTCCATCATCTCTTGGTTGGAGTATATTAACATTTCGAAGATGAATAATAATTACAATAACAATAATTTTTGAAAAAATTGTAAGTCGCAGGTTATGAGTACTGGAAAAGAATCCATGCAATGGGGTACGCAGCATTGTAACAC